GGCATCAACATCAGCCAAAGGAATCATTAAAACAATAAGGAGGTAGTTAAACTAAATATTATTTTTTCTAGCAAAAATAAAGTCATAAGTTGTTTGACCTTGTATTCAAAACTTGGTCATATTGATTAGAAGACTTAGAGCGACGCACCTTGTCCTGAGTCCATTGTATGCATAATTATCTCCAAAGTAGGACCGTGGGAGTGGTACATTCCCAGACGTTTCGCCAGAATCGTAGTTGGCATCGTAAGTGAGTTTTACCATTCGTAGCACTATATTACAACTCATCAAAGAGACAAATGAAGCCGATCCTTTGACCGAACGTCTGCTAAACAGTTGTGGTATCTCCGCTTCTGCCCTGGCCTATTCGCAAGGTCAAACAACTTATATACAACAAAAGGAGACTGTGACCACACAAAAGGCCACACCATCTTGGTCTTCATACCTTCGAATAGTCACTAATTTATCCAGTATATCTATACATGCTAATGTAACGCTTGTCTTGGAAAGGGGTATAAACTTTGCATTTCCAAATGAGCAAAATCATTCGATGGATATACTGGTTGAGTTAATTAACTTAACGGACAAGCTGCCAGGAGAGGCTAAGAATAGTATAGAAAGAGAAGTGATTCCTCATTTTAATGAAGTAATTATTTTAAATAAATCGTATGACTTGAATAAAGATTCTAGATATTTGCACCTAAATGATCTGTTTGTTTTAAAGGCAGATAAAGGTGATGCAGTGGTGTCATCATTGATAGGTCAAGTTATATAGAAAAAATGATGGTTCATTTAAATGACCCAGAAACTTAGACTTTTACTGAAGGATCCCACAAAAAGTCTTAAGACCAGGCTTATGGAATCGCTTAATGTTTGTGTAAGTAGAGGAGAAATTGAGAAGTGGAAAATGAATTCGCTTCTTCAGAGGGATGCTAGGGCACCTACGGCTTACGGTCTTCCAAAAATACACAAGGAAGGAGTTCCTTTAAGATTGATTGTTAATAACAAGAGTACTGTGATTCATAGGAACTCACGTTTTTTATGTAGACAACTAAGAAAATTGGCTGAGTCTTGAAAATTTTCAGTGAAGAATTCGTATGAATTTGCTAGATTAATAGATCAACAGAGTAGTAAAGAGGTGGATCTTTTGGTTAGTTTTGATGTTGTATCAATGTATACTAACATCCCAGTTCATAAAGCTATTGAAGCATTTACACTCAGCCTAGATGAGCATCCCAAAATTATTGAAGAAGCAAATCTGAGCAGAAGCTCAATCTTAAGGCTTCTTAATCTATCCATGAGCAACACATA